GTGTGTGTGTGTGTGTGTGAGAAGGTTATCTGCAGGTCCTACAGGTGTGTGTGTGTGTGTGTGTGTGAGAAGGTTATCTGCAGGTGTTTTATTCAAAGTTTTGATTCTTAGAGTGGAAAGAAGAACTCATATTCTCAACGTGAGTGTGCTTCTCTGGTTGTGTCTGAACTACACTCACATGACAGTTTGCCAGATTTTATCCATTCATCCAAGGAAGCGTCCGTAGTGTGGGGGGACAAAATGATGTGTGTGTGCGTGCACGTGTGCGAGCACGTAAAAAAAGGTGTTCACTACTGAACATCAAAGCAACATTTCACCTAGATTTCCTTTAATTCCACACATTTAAAACATGTTTCTCTCCAAGTTTGTGTAAATTCATCTGTGGATTAAAGACATTTTAACTTTAATACACTTTAACACAGAGCGTCAGGTCGACACTATTTGTGATTATAGAGAAATAAAAACCATCACTGGACTCTTTTACTTGTGTTCAACACTCCTCATGTAAATGATGTTTGTCATGAAGCTTGAGGACAATAAGGTGTGGGGGTTTAGAGACATTTCAACTTTAATGCACCTGAACACACAGAGTCTCTTCCACCTGCAGCGTCTCTTCCACCTGCAGCGTCTCTTCCACCTGCAGCGTCTCAGTTACTGCTGAGATAAGATGCTACAGATGTAGCTCCTCTTCTCTCCTCCCAACATGAATACATGTTGATGATCAACCCCTGGTCAACCACTGCCCGCACTAAGCTGCTAAACTGGTGAGCGAGTAACACAGGAACCTCCACCTCCTCCACCTGTGCGCGTTTTCTGCCGAGGCAGGAGGAGACGGTGGAGAGTTGGAGGTAACCAGGAAAACCTGGAGTGGAGTTTTAGTGGTTTGAGTATTCTATTAATCAAGTGGAATGGATTCGTTCACGAACGAAGAGAAACTGCGCCGCCTGAACTGATGTTTCATAGTAAAAGTGGGGGGGTCCAAATTAACGGGTTTTTTTATGTGGGGGGGGACTTGTCCCCTTCACATATAATGGTTGCAACGCCTGTGCATCCATCCATCCATCCATCCATCCATCCATCCATCCATCCATCCATCCATCCATCCATCCATTATCATTCACCAGCTACTTCCATTTTGGGTCACGGGGGTCACCGGTGCCCATGTTCAGCAGTCACTGTGCGAGGGGCGGGGGACACCCTGGACAGGTCTCCAGTCCATCACAGGGACACATAGAGACAAACATTCATTCTCTCTCTCACCTAGAGACAATTTAGAGTTACCAATCAGCCTAACATGCATGTTTTTGGTCTGTGGGAGGAAACTGGAGTACTTGGAGAAAACCCACGCATGCACGGAGAGAACATGCAAACTCCACCCAGAAAGGCCCCTGGACCGGGATTTGAACCAGGGACCTGCTCGCTGAGAGGCAGCAGCTCTACCAGTTGCACCATCGTGCTGCCTACCAGATTTTATGTCCTTCTTAAAGAAATCTAATTTAAATTGTACACAAAATGAATACGGCAAGTCTGTAGGGCCATTCCACTGGCTTTAAGGCAGTTAATATACAACACTGCTAGTTTCAGGAGTCAAACCAGCTCTACCTAATTTAAAAATAGAAAATTATAAATATTTAGATATTAAGTTTGATGATAAGATTATTAAAACTAAATTTAAATATATTCTTTTTCATGATTGTAATTCAGGAAGGCATTTAAAAGCTTTTAATAGTGATCAGTCTTACATGGAAAAGTCTTTCTCCAAACTTGTCACGTGGCCTGTCTCCCCATGAATCAAAGAAACACATTTCAAAATAATTCATAACATTTACCTGGTGGCAGAATTACTAAGAAGATTTAAATTTGAGGTAGACATGTGTTCTTTCTGTGACTCAGCATGTGAAACAACACAGCATCTGTTTGTTTCATGTCCTGTATCAGCAGATACACAGCTGGTTGTCACTAAAAACCAGTAACATCCCCCAGTTTGAGCACAGCTGGTTGTCACTAAAAACCAGTAACATCCCCCAGTTTGAGCACAGCTGGTTGTCACTAAAAACCAGTAACATACCCCAGTTTGAGCACAGCTGGTTGTCACTAAAAACCAGTAACATCCCCCAGTTTGAGCACAGCTGGTTGTCACTAAAAAACAGTAACATCCCCCAGTTTGAGCACAGCTTGTTGTCACTAAAAACCAGTAACATCCCCCAGTTTGAGCACAGCTGGTTGTCACTAAAAACCAGTAACATCCCCCAGTTTGAGCACAGCTTGTTGTCACTAAAAACCAGTAACATCCCCCAGTTTGAATATTGTTTAATAAGGAAAACCTTCAATCATCTCTATGTGACATGATCAACATTGTTGTTCTTCTGGGGAAATATGAGACACACTGAAACAATACTTTATTATACTTTATACTTGAAACGATACTTTATTATACTTTATACTTGAAACAATATTTTATTATACTTTATACTTGAAACGATACTTTATTATACTTTATACTTGAAACAATATTTTATTATACTTTATACTTGAAACAATACTTTATTATACTTTATACTTGAAACGATACTTTATTATACTTTATACTTGAAACAATATTTTATTATACTTTATACTTGAAACAATACTTTATTATACTTTATACTTGAAACAATATTTTATTATACTTTATACTTGAAACAATATTTTATTATACTTTATACTTGAAACAATACTTTATTATACTTTATACTTGACACAATACTTTATTATACTTTATACTTGAAACGATACTTTATTATACTTTA